CATAACACAACAGGCAGAACAACCCGCCACTTCGTATATACATGCACATAGAAGGGACCGCACAGTAACGATGAACAACCACAACATGGAAGTACAGCAGTTTCCTCATTTATAATTTATATATGTAGAACACCTAAAGATGACCCCATAGTTCAAAACATGTAGTGAATAACTTTTAGTAAGTTATATAGAAGGACGTGCTGCACGTGAGACTGTGAAACCATCCGCTACTAAATGACGTGCAGCAGGGTGCTACAGTATAGCACTAGTTACAAATAACAGCTCATGGCCAGGTCTGGACTGATACTCACTCCTTCCTGTTCATTCTTCTTCATTTGTTTCTCTGCTTTATTTCTGTAGGTCCCTTTCCATGAAATTTATGAGACAGGTACCTGAAATTAGAAAGACAGACAACATTAAAGTCACTGTATTTTAGGATCTTACAGAATGTGACCATGATTCCAAGTAACACGTAATATCCTTTCATCCTGAAGTTCCAGCCAGAAAATACGGGTATGATCCATATTTAGCTCAATCTGTTATTTTGTGAAATTATAAAAATATGTAACATTCTGTTTTCCAACACAACTTACTCATACAGCCAACAACCAGAAATGGCATGCTACAGCCAATTAAAGTCGTAGGGATTGAAATGATTAACGCAGAATATTTTAGTAAAAGTACAATGGGACTAACATTTTTGAGGCATGTTTCTCCTTAATTAATGCAACCTATCTGCAAAATGGACCACTCTGCCGCATTCTATGCGTACACAACAAACTGTATCGAGTACAAAGTATTTACACACTCACATGTCACAATATGTCGGCTAGTTACAAACTGAGATACACAGAATAGGAGAAAAGGAAGTCAAAACAACATGTATATACAACAAAATGTTCTACTGAAAGCATCTGATGTGGAAGACAATCTCACCCCCCATGATAGGGTAATCATGATAGTGCTGGTCAGCAGAGGGACCCTACAATTTAACATGGGAGGGGGGTATCCTTTGTATTCCCAAAGTTTTACCTCTGGTAGATGTGATGGCATCACCTGTGAGCAGAAAAATCTGTACACATTTGCGAGTGAGGATCGAACTCAGAACCTTCTGAATGGGTATAACAGCTTACCTCAGGACCTTTCTCTTAAGGACCTACATTAAGTGGCTCTAGTGTTGCTCACAACTCAGTCGCCATGTTAATATGGCTGTTGGTAGACAACTGAAAGAACATGGGGAGTGTCATGATGACAATCCAGAGTTTCACATAAATCCATCAGTTGGTTCACATATTACGGTGAGGACGGCACGCATGGATGATAATAACAGTGGTCCCATAATCTTGCCCATTTCCACCGAAAAGCTGCTTCCTCCTTGGACTTTTTCTTCTTAAAATGGCAATTACTGTGAGAACTTTTTTCCCCTAAAGAACGTACTACCATTGGACAGGCTACCTTCCACAGTGTGACCCTCCACAGTGCGACCTATCTTAAAAACAGATATGCTGTTAGCTGTGCTAACCTGAAAGTCTCCTTTACATTAAGCAGATGTCCATCATCTGTGTAGTCAAATTTAACATCTGGTTTGTAGCCCTCCTCTTCCTCTCTGAAGTCTGAGGTCAGACCACTGTACTGCTCGCGATGCCCAAACTTTTCATCATATCTGAAACAATAAAGCAATGCTGTATATTAAATTCCTTAATTAGACTTGCTTGCTTTCTTCGTCCTGTCTTGACCATCATGTACACCTCCCTAATACGTGAGTGGGTCAATCCCAACAGACCAGACGAGATTTGCAATTCAGTTATAGAGGAAATGAGAGAGTATTCAAAAACTCACATATTCCTTAACCTCCAAAATTTCCTACTCTATTCCATAATCAAAGCAAGTGGCCGATCCTTGTGCCCATGACAACTCTCTTCCCTAAGGCCTGCTGCAGAGAAGACTTGACAGCTACAGGGCAACTTAGGAGACTCAGTCTGCAGCCACCAACTCACGCTGGTTTCTCGCTTGCTGATTTTTATACCCTGAAGATGGAGGAGATACATTCCTCCAAAACGTAGGTTTACACAATATCTATACAGTGCCACATCCCAGAAGACGAAATTCTTCATGAGTGTCATTCATTACATACCAAGACACTATACAGAAAAAAAAAAAAGTAAAGTTATCCCTGTAACAGACCATTGAGGTACCATATTTTCTAGACAATCGGCTCACAGATGGAGGTGAGGTTGTCAGCCTTATGCACCAAGCTATCCCTGTTAACAGACCATGGAGGCCCACAGGGTTGTGAGACATTAAGTATCCCACATTTTCTAGACAATTGGCTCACCGATGGCGGTGAGGTTGTCAGCCTTATGCACTGGCCACACTTTACACCCCACGAAAATTCCTCATACTCATTTCTGTTAAGAGGCTGAGTCGACCCCAGGGCCATAGTGCATCTGGAAGGATTAGGCCAATTGAGAAAAAATTAATGACCTCATCAGGACTTGAACCCATGACCTTCCAACTTGTAGCATAGTGTCTCAACCAACTATCCTACCAACACTAATATTAAACAGTAATGATTACTGTGTTTGTATTAAAACCCCTAACAAACCTGCAGTATATGATTAAACATGGTACAGCATTTCTGAAATCCTTAAAATATAAACGTACAATTAAAACTAATACAAAAGTGTCAGGGTCTCTTAATTTGTATCGGCTTATGTTGTACATAAAGAATGCGCTAGTGACTCACCAATCTCAACTTAATTCCAAGCTCCACGTTTGCCTTCTTCTTCCTGACGTTTCTTCTCTTCAATCATTTCCCTCTCAAAGCCCTGTAATGTAAGTTTTGTACAAGATTAGCAAGATGCAAATGCGCAGCCCAAAAATTACCAATTCATTACCTTAAGATAGACTGAAATCTGAACTGCTGACCCACCAACCACTGTATAAAAAATTACTGCACTCTAAAGTACTCACTACACTGTGTAGGATTTTTTGTCAGCAGTGGTTTTGAAGAGTTCTGTCATCTGGGATATAATGCCATGTAGTCTGTCGAAAGTCAACATACATTTTGGAGACACATGTCACCTCCCCTGAAGAATAAAACAAGCAAAAAACCAGCACTGGCAGGTAACACAGCCAAGCTTCCTACCTGCTTCATGCTGGTTTCCTGTTTGGTCTATTCTTTGACCCTGAAGATTCAGATGACATTTTCCCCTGGAACATGATACCCCAGAAGACAGAATTCTTCTGACTATACTGATCATTAGGGCTCGGATTTCTATGACCTAAAAACTTTGAAAATATGCATGCATTTATGCCCTAAAAATGGCAAAATATGACCTAAAATATTACAGAATGGCCCACAAAAAATAAGTAAATATTTAACAAAAATTCCTAAGAATGGCAATTTATTAAGAAGTTTACAAAGTTATTTTGTCCTGAATAAATATCTTTAAGCTCTGAAGCATCGATCACAGCTGACCCCATAAAGAGAAAAGCTGAATGGCGTTTTATTGAAAAGTGTCCAAAGTTATTTTTTCTGAATAAATGTCTTTAAGCCGTGAAGCATCAATCACAACACAATGCTGACCCTGTAAAGAGAAAACACGAACGAAAGTATTGTTTATTTTAGCGTGAAAAGTAAAGTAAAGTGTGCTAATAGTTGCAGGTAAATAATTTGTACGGTACCTTAATCTTCCTTTTCAGTAGAGTTGCACTGAATGACAACATGCATTTTCAAATTCTCGAACTTGAAGGACCTCCGATTGTCACTAACAATGGCCTTGTATTTGGAGAAACTCCTTTCTACGTCGCAAGATGTCACAGGGGCATACTTAAAACAAGTCAAATCACTTGCGTCAAGTTCTAATTCACTGTTGTCAAATTCAACTTCTTTGCCACAAAGAATGTCAGAAATTGTACACAGTGTTGAATATCCAGGATTTCGTTGGAGCACATTTTGTAATTTTGCACTAATTTTCACAGCAACTTCGCCCTGTGCTTGATGTAGTTCACTTTCAACTTTCTTAACAATTTGTAATGCATTGCACAGTTGCATGCCCACAGCTTCAAGTCTAATGATGGATTTTGATATCACACTGAAATTTGATTTTATGTACGCTAGATTTCTTGACGTGGTTGATGAAAACAAATTTTGTACAGTTCGAATTGAAGATGAATCATCTCTGTCAAACTTCATGAAGATATTTTCAATCACACTGTAGTGTGTGCAATAATAATCTGCAGCATCGAGCCAAGTCCCCCATCGTGTTAGAATAGGCTTAGGGGGAAGGGGTAGTGATGGAGCCTCTTCTTTAAACTTCTGCAATCGAAGTGGAGCCTTAACAAAAATTTTCTTCCCATTTGCTATTAATTTATCTACATCAAAGTAGCTCTCTCGCACCTCTTCTGCTACCCTATGCAGAGCATGTGCGAGACACGTTGCATGAATCATTTTGGGATACAGTACCTGAAGTCCCTTTGCTGCCTTTACCATATATGGAGCGGCATCCGTTAAGAAGAGGAGCACATTCTCTCGTTCTACCTTATTTGGCCACAGCAAATTCATCGCATTGTCGAAAACAACAGCAATGGAAGAATTATTCACTTTTTCCAACACCTCACATGCCAATAGGAATATATCTCGAGGCTGGTCATCTTTCAGTATACCAACAACAACATTCGCTACAAATCTACCACTTACGTCGGTAGTTTCGTCGATAGACACCCATATTTTATTATTTCCGACACAGTTTCTTATTTTATTGATGGTAACATCGTAGCAGGAAGTGAGATAGTTCTTTCTTAATGTGGATTCGGTCGGAATGGGATGAGTTGTATATTTTTCGAGGAAGTTTCGGAAACTAGGTGTATCTACTTTATGTAATGGAATATTTGATGAAACCATCATAGTACAAAGATCCTTTGAAAACTCGGAGGCATTTTCTGATTTCGGTGAACTGGAGGATGACTTTTCAAACAACAATCGCTGTCTACTTTCCGTGGTAATTTCTCTGTTTACACAGCTTCTATGTTTAGCTGTATTGCAGTGTTGTTGCACCATAAAACGTTTGTCTGCCGTAACTTTCACTTCACACATTTTGCAAAATAAAATTTCTCCGTCAGTACTAAAATATTTGTCACCAAACTCTTTAATAAAACCACACAACTTCACGCTATTAGAGCACTTGACTTTAGGCATCTTGAAACTATACTGAACAACTGAAGTTATGAATACAGTACTGTATTGGACGGGTTTTGGGGAGAGGGTAGAAATTTACTGCTTTGTGGATGGAAAAATTTTTCACCAATATGCAAGAAACAAACTGGACTTCAGGTATCACTGCAGTGGAGGAGAAAAAGAGACACAGACAGACAGACAGACAGACAGAGGTGGCAATTTCTCTTTTCAAAGTGGTTGATTCTATGCCAGGTCAAGAACCGTTACCCTTCACACTGTACAGTATTCCTTCAAATCCCATTACACAAGGCCAAATATTTCTAAGAAATGAAGTTCCAAATAACATCATTGCCAATACTTGCAAATATATTTCTGAGCAATAAGTGAAACTCGCCTAAAATATGATCAAAAATATGATTTTATATCACTTCGGGCCCAAATATGATCTAAAGCTAAAATATGGTTCAAATATGCATTTATATGACCAATAAAAACCGTATTTTCATGTTCACAAGAGTCAGAAATGCGTTCATATTTAATTATACATGTGAAAAGATGCCAGGATAAAAATATGACATGTCATAGAAATCCGAGCCCTACTGATCATCTTGAAATGTCTTTGCCAAAATATGTCTCTTTAACATCACAATATGTTTTAAAGTTTGCAGTTCTAACAGAAACATACTCTCATTCTGCCAAGCAATGAACACCTGCCAAACTAATTCTGAGTTTGCAGTGAGAATACTGTGACGATTAACATTATGAGCCTAAGAGAAAACAATTCACTTTGCAATGAATCAAATTACAAGAACTTGTTGGTTTTTCATTTAGTCATGTTCTGAGCTATTTATTCATCACTATTTCAATTTCACGTGTAATTCCTAGTAGCGACTTTTCTACCATTGTGTCATGCACATGGCACAGGGAGAAAAAAATAAGATATGAAAAAAGCCTGGGTTGAAATTCTTACAAAGGAGACTAAGAAAAGCACAATCCTCTGGGAAGTAACACAGTGTAAGTCAACTGACATTCCTTCCAAATACTTATGGACTTTACCACTTTATTCCAGAAGACACCATTTGTCAAGAAGAAGGAAAAAGTTCTACCATTTCAACTATCACATTCTTATTGTATAATGTGTGCTTTCATTTCTAGGATCTTTTATTGGATGTTTCCAGTTCTGTACTCGGTTCAGTAATTTATATATCCATTATCACGAAATTCAACTGCAATTAAAGTACAGTAAAACTTGGTTATAGCAACATCGGTTTCTGCGACACCTTGTATATTGCGTCAATATTCAATGGTACGAACTAATTCCTCATAAAGCAACTGTTTTTATACCTTGCTTAGTACGACATGCACAAATGCATCAACCTCGTATGTAACGTCATTTTCATTCCTCAATTTCTCTGATATGGACATTGAACGTAATTTAGAAAGTGTGTATTGGGCAAGTAACATGAAACAGATGAAGATAACTGATTACTGTACTCGTATCTAGGTACAGTAAGGCACAACAGTTGATGTAATCTACTGTAATTTGGTGAGTAGTCCTACCTTTAATATACAGTATTAGTGCGGTGTGTATTGTCAGTGAAAAGCGCTGTAATATGTCTTTGATATTACACATTTGGGCAAGTCCACGTTAATGTTACGTTAGTCTGTACTTAACTACGTATTTCACTAAAAAATGCAACATTTTAACTCGGTTTTTGGTAGATTTTTACGTGACTAACATAAGGCTACTGTGGAAGTGCCCATTTCGGTTACAACGACATTCGTTTATAACGACACTATTTTTAGGTCCCTTTGATGACGTTATAACCAAGTTCTACTGTATTTTCAAATTCTGCTGCAGCTGCAGTAAATAACTATAGATGGGCAATGGACTATATCCAATGTTGACACATGCTAAACCAAAGTGCCCTTACCAAATCTGCAGATGGTTGTATTACACTCACAAGTAGTTCCTGAGTGTCCTCATCCCTGTTGCCAGCCAAACCATACGTGGTGATGTCACCCAACGTACGGCAGAATTCTGCTGTAGCATGCAGCACAATGGAACCGCCTTCCATGTTTCCTTCCCAGTTTCTCTCCAGTACTGACTCTTACCACCTACAAACATCACAAATCACAAAGAGTTAAATTATGTAGCTATACAGCATTGTTTTGTAGTATTCATAAATGCAAAGCTGTCCTATGCTTAATTAGTTATACACTAGATGGAGGTGAGTGGCCAGCTCCATGCCCTCCCACACCTGGGGAAAGTGCCCCTGGTACCTATATGACAGGAGGCCATAACAGGTCTCAATAACCAAAATACGAGAAAGGATGATAGCAAAAAGAAAGATGCAGCTATCCCTTCAACATGCTGTGGAGGGCCATAGGGGAGTGAGACATTGAGGCTTCCATATTTTCTTGGCAGTCAGCTCACAGATGGCGGTGAGGTTGTCAACCTTACACTCCCGTCGCCCTTTACCCCCAGTACAATCCGTGGTTCTCATTTCTGTTAGAGGCTGAATCCACCCCATGGTACAGCTGGAAGGATTCGGACAATTTAAAAATCCAATTACCTCACTGGGATTTGAACCAAAAAACTTCTGGTTCATAGCAGAGTAAGGAAGGATGATGAGACTTAAATGTGACGATATGATTTACTGATTTGAGGCCCACCACAACAGACTGTGAGATAAATAATTTAACAGCCCTCAGGTTAAATCAGAACATGGTTTCTCCACAGTACAATGGCTTTGTATAGTAACCAAAGGGGAAACATCATAATGAGCTTTACTACAAAGTTCTGCGCACAGCCTATTTACATACATTTTATAACTGGAACATATACCATATGTCTGTGTAGGAACTAAACATGGCACAGGATTCTGTAGCTAGCGACAATTTCATCACCTCCCACCACCTATCCATAGGGCTGTTCCTCTCTTGTCTCGGGGAGAAAAAGCAGAGGCAGGTGAGGGGAAGATGGCCTTGACTGATCAAGAGAAATGTCCCGTACTACAGCAAAACATTTGTGAGGAGGATTAAAAAGGAAATCTGCCAATGTGATGACCTTTTCTATATTGTTCTCCGATTCGGTAACAGCCTCCTGCAGCTTCAGTCTCCGTGATTTTTTGAGGGCTATCTGTAGCTCCAGTTTGCTGTCATCAGGCTCAGTCTTGATGTTGGACAGTACTTCTTCTGGCGCTGAAAGTTGTTTCCGATTATTAGTAACATTCAAAACTGCTCCTTCACCACATTTCTTTTCATTATTTAATAACACACTTCGTAGCGGAAACTATATATTATCAAATGGCTGATGATGAGAAAATAGTGTATTCAAAAGTCTTGGTGGTCACCTGATTAGGGATACTAAGGCCAGCCAGCATTTGCCTGGAGGTCCTGCGAAAAACCATGAAAAACCTACATCAGGTTAGCCAGATGTTCCAGCTGAGATTCATAAACACATGAAGCCAGTTCCCTTTTTTTGAGTTCCAACTGTGGTGAATTCTCGTTGTGATGCAAGTAACATGCGTCTGTACTTACGGTCACATTGGGCGTGTTTAAGTTCATCTCTTCTTGTAGCAGTTCAATAATTTTTTGTGCTGATCTTAGTTCTATCATGGTCTTTTGTAGTTTTACTTTAAATTTATCACAACAAGCACTCATTCCTTCACTTGTTACATTACTATTATTGATGAAAACTGGAGTTTCATCAGCATTAACCACTGAACAAACCGCCATTTTGGATATCACGAACGATCAAGAACGGGAACTCGCGAACCTCGCGAACTCTCGCGGATTACTTTTTCAGCTCTGAATAATTTAACACCAAAATTATTCAACTTACAAAATAAATTATGCTCAACATCACACAGCTCTCGTATGCCGAGTTCCATTAAAATACAAGAACAAAAACGGAATTAATTTTGACCTTTGAACAAAGATAATGAAATATTTGTACATTCTTAACTTCCTTGATAGCTTGATACTTGAAACTACCTCCTCAGCCAAAACACATTTGTATATC